TCATTAGTGACACAGATATTTATAAAATTTTCAAAAAAACGGCATCTAGAAATCATCATCTCAACAAATATGGATCATGCTCTGCATTTGATATACAATGCCGTAATCGTATTATATGTAAACTTCGTGGCACTAACTCAGGTCATGGTCCATATTCTGATAGTGAACTTTGTAAAAAACATGGTTGGATTCCTCGTTTACCTGACGATTGGTTTTTAAGTGCTGCATTGGGAAACCATATCAATGTTTTTGTTGACCTTGATGAAATTGATAAAAAAGGTAGTAAGTTTAAATCAGTAGATGATGATGATGATGATGATGACGATGATGACGATGACAGTATAACTTTTGAAGGGCTTTCTAAGACAGTTGTTAGGATGATAATGAGATTTGTTATGGGAGGGGACGATGCTGTGTGTCGCTAAACCTTAATATTATTCAAATTTTGCATTGTTATATTTATTACTTTCAGTTTAAAAAGTAGAGGCATAACTTTTTAGTAAGTATCGAATAAATTTGTTCAAAATTTTGGCTCGGCAAAAATAAATTATGATCTCATTGTTTGAGTGAATGACCTGTCTTTATTATTTGCATGTAATCTTTAATTTGTACTGAAATTTAAACAAATATACATATTATTGCATTGAGATAACTATTTAAAAGGATATCTTCAAGAAATATTCGAACAGAAACTTTTTATTATTAATCAGTTGCTAATGTCCTTTTATTCATCTGAATCAGATTCATCTGGTTTTGTGTAATAAGAAGGATATATATATATAGTATTGTCCCAGTACCAAAAACCATTCGACAATTGATGAAAATCGGCACTGATAAGCATCCCGTCCATTAGATAAAACGCAAGATCAGGACCAACAGCGATAGTGAATGATTTCGCATTAGGAACATCAAATTCACAAACATCAAATTTACGAATGTAGTAAAGACGTAACCAATCATCATCGTCTGATATATCATTCTCAGTATCGTTTGTTGTTGCTGACTCGGGTAATTCATTAATTTTAACAATTTTGACCACTAACCCTAATCTGCTAGCTTGCTTCACTTCTGTCAACTCATTTAGAGCATTATCACCAAAAACTTTTTTCACAATTTGTTCTGCTTCTTCAGGATATATCCCAAATAATGAAGCCAAACTTTCTTCACTAGGATAAGGATTATCAAATCTTCCATATAATTATCTTGTAATTTTTATGATATTAATGATATTTTTTAGTTCTACACCAATTAAATATCGTGTTGAACGTGCAGTACAAAAATACAAAGCCTCCAGAATGTTTGATAATATATCCAGTCAGATCTTAAGTTCTTACCTTCATTTTGGTGGCGTTGCTGAGGATACAACTTTATGTGCTTATGAGAATGATCCAATGATACCTAATGGAATGGAAGTGGACATTACATATAACGTCAAAGTCTATCTATCAAGTTACATTATAAATGAAACAGGTTATGTAAATGAAGACGCATTCCGAGAAGCGCCTATAGTTATTGAATCATTCTTGAATTATTTGGTCAGGAGACAAGTATGCCCTGAATACTCTGAAGATTTACAAGAAGCACTTAAAATCACTCAATTAGCAAAAGATGAGCTATTGAATTGTAAATTAATGACACAAGA